TTTATTCTCATTATTCCAACACTCATATAAATATTAGCCTATCCATTAAGTACATGTATTTTCTACATGGATACTTTGGATAGCTTAAACGACAAAGGGAAGATCTTCCACCGAGCGGATGATATTGCTCGGTAGACCGACGGTCCGAATGTTGTTGTTCGGAATTTGTATATATGCGTTTTATCTTGAAAATGTCGTAAGCGAGATTCAGGCATCTGTCAATTATATTGCGTTGTATGATGGCTATCCGCCACATCACTCCCCTCCGAGACTGGAGGTCGTGTCATTTTTTAGTTAACGTTGTCCGTGCTGAGATTAGCTTGCAAGGGCCAGTGCTGCTCGAAGTTTGCCGTGAGTCGAAACTGAGCTTGAATGCTGCGTGCGTGTCGCCAATGCTGCTCGAAGTCTGCGGTGAGTCGAGACTGAGCTTGAATGTTGCGTGCGTGTCGTGCGTAGTCCATGTGATGCAGAGCTGCCACGCCGGAGATGTGTGACCCCAAGCGTTGATGATCCGGTCGTGGGCTGCGATGAACTGTAGCGGCGTGATGAGGCAGTGAAGTTGCGTGCCGTAGGACCAGGAAGCGCGGTGAGTCGGCTGCGATGGTCCTGTTGAGGCTGCGATGCTGGCTTGCTGTGGGACGACTGTCAATGACGTGCTTTTTATCTGCGAGAATGCGGGGATTGTGATAGCCGAAGTTCTTGATGCGCTGATGATGAATCAGAAGGTTGCGTGTTCACATCTCGTCGCAGGTCACCAGTGAAGGGGGCTGAACGACGAAAGGAAGATCTTCCACCGAGCGGATGATATTGCTCGGTAGACCGACGGTCCGAATGTTGTTGTTCGGAATTTGTATATATGCGTTTTATCTTGAAAATGTCGTAAGCGAGATTCAGGCATCTGTCAATTATCTTGCGTTGTATGATGGCTATCCGCCACAATACCAAGTTTCAAGTCAATCGGATGCATGGTTCAGTAGTTGTAACGGAACATCCGTAAAAACCACTATAGATTTATATATTAGTATAGATTTGGATCCTAATGTAAAAAATGTACGTAATAATAAGGAAGAAGCTATACATAAGAATAGAACAAAGCTGTATTTAAATTTAAAAAACCAAGAAGAAATGTAATTTTTTTTACTATTTTTGCGGGGCGTGTGGGGTAATAAGATTAAGGATAGTAATAAATAAGTAAATAAATATAAATAAATATTTTACTAACAATCACGCCACGTTAACTGGTCCCGTGATAAGTTCGTAAAGAACTTGTGTTACAGGTACCAGATATCGGAAATAAATGTAAGATTTTTATTATACACATATATATATTTAATATACGTCCATAACCCTGGAAAAGACATTTATATTTATCATACAAATATCTTCCCTTGGCGGGTTCGAACCCGCGACCCCCTAGTGTAGTGACCATGTCACTTACCACTACACCAGACGGACGTTATTTGAAAAGTAAAGACGTGTTTCGTATTCGCTGCGGCGTCTATCCTTTATGACGTTAAAAAACTCTCACTAAGCACACAGAAGAACACCAAGAATGAAACGGGATCTCGATCTAGTTTCCTTTTAATTTCATTAAACGTCTACAAAGCGGGCACGCACCCCTTTATGCTATTAACGAAAAGTAAAATATTTGACGTAAAAAGGGACCGTAAAGAATCCACAGAATTGATGGGAGCCACGAAACAATATTCGCCCGGATTCCTTTCCCGATAATATGATGTTTCCGGCAGGACGACCGTCTAATGCGTCCTTGTGGAATCCCTTCAATTTTGTACCGGATTATTTCCCGTTGAAGAAAAAAAAATAAAAGCGCCATTTTATCAAAACATCGCTTCCTCGAAATGATATTGTTGGCGTTGAGTGAATTTTCAACGGTATCCGATTTTTTGGTTGTTAAAAAAATCTTTTGTCCAGAGTTTTTATTTTATTTTAAATAATTCCAGAACTGAACAAGACTAGGTATATCCTACGATCATATTCGAGTTTATAACGCAATGATGGAATCCTTAGGTAGAAGAGCTGGGACGCCGCCTTGGGTTCTGGAAGCGGAGGCGCTCGCCGCTGACTATAAGTGGCGGGCTGACCTTCGTGCCCGGGGCGTGGCGCGTCCCAGCTCCAGTGTGGTCAGAGCGCGGAGGGCCCAATCTCGGCGGTCCGTGCTGGAGTCATGGTCCAGACGGCTGGCTGATCCTTCGGCTGGTCGTAGGACCGTCGAGGCGATTCGCCCGGTCCTTGTGGATTGGGTGAATCGTGACAGAGGACGCCTCACTTTCCGGCTCACGCAGGTGCTCACTGGGCATGGTTATTTCGGTGAGTTCCTGCACAGGATCACAGCCGAGCCGACGGCAGAGTACCACCATTGTGGTTGCGACTTGGACACGGCAGAGCATACGCTCATCGCCTGCCCCGCATGGGAGGGGTGGCGCCGTGTCCTCGTCGCAAAAATAGGAACCGACTTGTCGTTGAGGAGTGTTGTGGCATCGATGCTCGGCGACGACGAGTCGTGGAAGGCGATGCTCGACTTCTGCGAGTGCACCATCTCGCAGAAGGAGGCGGCGGGGCGCGTGAGAGACGCGCAAGCCGGCCGCCGTCGAGCGGGGGCCAGGGAGGTGGATCTCGCCCAAGCCCTGGCCCTCTAAGTGTTTCGGGTCCCCCTCACATGTCGGTCTGGGGACCGGCGAGGGGGGCCTAAGAAGACGACGTGCAAGCTGCTCTGCACGCGTTTTACGCAAGAGCATCCGGGTGATGGAAGGCCGGCTATCCTCGAGCCACGCTGGTTCTGGCCCAGCGGGGTATTCCGTAGGGTAACCCACTCTAACCGGCACCATCTAGGCGGGCTTCGGACAGTCTGCCGACCGAGAGGGCTAGTGGTCGTGGCGCCGACGATCGCCAGTCCGGCGTCCCGAGGGGGAGGGTGATGGGAGAGATGTGCTCCGCACTAAACGCTTCACTTTCCCCCCTTGGCCTTGTCATTAGTTCTGTCTCATGCGAGGTTTGGACGTTGGTTGTTGAGCGACACGAGGTTTTAGTCAGTTCGACTCTGACATACCCCGCCCAGTATCCCCAGAAAAGGGCGGAAGTCCGGCGATTTCCTCCTGACCAAAAAAAAAAAAAAGGTAGAAGAGTTTGCGTCATATTATTTATTCGTTCATATTTATTATTATTATTATACAGAAAATCCAACGAGGCCACAAAGCAAAAAAATAATAATAAAATAAATTTAATCTATAACAAGCTAAACAAGAACAAACCAACAAACACATTATCGACTGATCATTTGTAGATATAAAATCCTATAGAGCAACACAATTTAACCACGTAAATGTAAGACATCTAATCATGAGCATTCGTGAGCACACGCGCTACGTACGTACGACGTTATTGAAATGAAAACTTAATGTGAAGTCAGTTCAGAATTCAGGCTAACGGTCCAACAAATTGTCATCATCAATATTTATGACAGAAAAAAAAAACTTTCAATCATCCGATACATATTTTGTTCAAAACAAAAAATAAAACAATTTTATACGCCATCATACATAGCGAAAGCGCACGGGTCAATGTTGCGAGATCGTCCCAGGAGTGATGCGGTATTCAGTTATTATTGATTTTGCCTACACATGGAACAGTTTAATTTTTTTTTGTCCCCAACGAAATTCCGACCCCCGGGGCCGACCGCCGGATGTTATTGGCCGAATGAAAAAAAAAATCATACGCATGATAGATTGTTTTTTTGTAAATAGCCTCGAGTAGGCACGTTTCGATGCTTACATAACGTAGTAGCCGAGTATCGTATTGAATCGTAATTTGTGATTTTAGGCTATATTTTGTTACAAAGGCTGATAAATAAAATCGGTTACGAGCGACGTAAGATGTTACAGAATCACTGATATTTTTAAATAAACAAGGGTATATAAATAACCAGAATGTTTCAAAACGATTCTGATTGTTATCGTGGATAAAATGGATAAATATTTTTTTATAGAAAAAGAAGATTAAAGCCATTGTTAAAATAGTGATATTGATGATCTTTCCGAATAATTTATTTTAAATTTCTATTGGCATCACAAATCAAACCGCTTCTTCTTTGAATTCCATGTATTGAACAAAAGGATATATTGTATATAATACGACCATACTACGTCTTTCTGCCGCTCAGAAATCAAACGTTCCAATTTAAATACATAAATATTTGTGGTATTCAGTGAACGTTCAATATCAGTTTTGGTAATCAATCACCTATGCCCATGAACGACGGTATTAACCATCAGGCGGGCTATAATCTTGCTTGCGTGGTCGTTCTACATATTTTCTAGAGAAAAAATGGTGAAAAAAGAAAATATCTATTGAATTACTAGAGCTCTAGAATGGACAGACACCGGGATCTCCGTTTTAGTGGCATAAATGGGCAGACGAACACGTACCTTAAAAAAGAAATCTCAGTTTTAGGTATATTAGAATAATGGCTATCCAACCGAAACATAATATTAGTTTTGCTGCCGTAATAAATAAAACCATAAAACCAACGCCTGCAGAAACACATGTCCATTACTACACATGCAATAACTCCTATCTAAGTTACTTAATTTAAAATATACAATATGCCAATTCTTAACACTATTCTTCCAAACAGCATTGACTAAGTACTAATATTTAAAATAAAGGATCTCCTTTACGGAAATAAAAAATATACAAGGTTAACTCGGTGGCACAGTAATTAACGCCTCTGACTACTGGGTCAAAGGCTCTGGGTTTGATTCCCACGAGAAAACAAGTTTGCTCTTTATTTTGGATCTTTAACGATGTATATATTTATTCAAACGTTAATACGTATGTAATCAGTCTCAGTCCCTGTTTCTAATGGTACTTGGGCTTGGAGCCAGATGATCGTGTATAATTTGACCCAGATTATCTGTTTATAGTATTTTCTTTTGGAATAAAAACACCCACACAAATTATCTGAGCATTTTTCATTTTCGCAGGTGTCAGTTCTGTTCAAATCATAAACATGAGGGTACCAGACATAATTCAGTACGGAACCAAGGACAAGGTCACATTGGACTGTGACTACGTTACCAGTAACGTCACAGGCTTAGTCGTGAAATGGTTCTATATGGACCGATCCACTAGTATATATCAATGGATTCCACCTCAGAAACCTCAAGCTCTGGGGATGTTTAAAGATAAGGTAATTATTCTTTCTCTATCACTTATCTCTTTTCTTCTTCTTTTTCTCCACCTTATCCCACTAGGTGGGGTCGGCACAGCTAATTTTTCTCTTCCTTCCTCTTCTATCAGCTGTCATCTCAACACTCACTCCTCTCTCTCTCATATCATCATTCACAAGTCCATACCGCGCCAACCATCCGCTCTTTAATTTGTTGCCACTTATCTCTTTTATGATAGCATATAGGATATAATCTATGATATTATACACTTTTTCCCCTTTTTCTTGCAATAGACTTCGAATAATACCAGCGTATTTATTTTCTGTGTACAATAATGTATAATCTAGTTTAAATATCAAAACGTGCGACAATTACAATCAATATGAATATAGTTATCACTGGTGATAGGACCACTTGTGAGTCCGCGCGGTTAGGTACCACTACCCCGCCTATTTCTGCCGTGAAGCAGTAAGTAATGCGTTTCGGTTTGAAGGGTGAGGCAGCCGTTGTAACTATACTTGAGACCTTAGAAGTTATATCAGTGGGTGGCGCATTTACGTTGTAGATGTCTATGGGCTCCAGTAACCACTTTACACCAGGTGGGCTGTGAGCTCTTCCACCCATCTAAGCAATAAAAAAATTAAAGTTAAGATTTCATAAACTTCGTTCTTCCAGCTAGACCTAACATACAAAGTGTCCCACAATCCGTACACACAGCACCGAGCTCTGAGGATCATCAAACTAGATCCTGAGTTAACCGGGAACTATACGTGCGTGATCTCAACCTTCCTGGCTGAAGACGAAAAGACGAAACCTATGACTATATTTGGTAAGTTACGCATGTTCCATGTAATTTAGGGCTAACTTTTGAGTTGATGGATACAACCTCTCCTTAAAGTAAATCATAATGCAAATAAATTTGACAAATGATATAGATTAATCTTATTTATTTATTTAAGGATGAAATCGGCAACATAGTGTATCTAAGTTATGGAAACTATTTTTTTATATTTTTTGTGCGAATGTTGTGACACCATACAAATTTTGACTATCCGTACAAAGCGTTTTTTTTTATATTTCTTAGATTATAGTATAATGATTACCATCATAAATTTAATATAATCATTGTAAGATCATCCCAAAAAAGGTTTATAAAATAAAAATTCATTTAATAGTTAAAAACTAAAAAGCACGCTCCAGTAGCGAATCAATTTAAAAACTTCTACTTCCACCTTTTCAGGCCAAAGTAATTGAGTTATTATATTCGTCATCGTTCCTTGATACGTTTGCAAGTTTTCGTGTTAATTAGACCTTTAGAAGTTGATGGAAATTCGATTTAGGATAATGTTGCATAGATAGCTAGACCCAAACTAGAGACAAGGCCAGATCAACAGAAACGCGATGAGAACGAAGTTTCAACTACTTTGAAATATACGGCTATCCTTTGAGTCAAAACGCAGAACAATTTTGTATAAACCCAGAAGTGCAAGAAGTACGAAAGGCTGTACAAGATATGAAGAATGAGAAATCTACTGGACCAGATGGTATTCCAATAGAAGTGTGGAAGTTTCTGAAAGCGGATGGATGCACGTGGCTGACTTTATTCTTCAATAAATTGTTTCAAGAAGAGGCCATGCCTGACGAGTGGTGCAAAAGTTCACTCGTGCCTGTATTTAAGAGCAAAGGTGACACACAGGTATGCGACAATTATAGAGGAATAAAGCTCATGTCACATAGTATGAAAGCTTGGGAGAAAGTGATAGCGAGAAGAATGAGAGATTAGAGTGAGGTATCACAGAACCCATTCGGGTTCATGCCGGGACGCAGTACAACGGACGCCATTTTTTGCCTGCGCCAATTGTGCGAAAAATATCGCCGTGCAAGTAAAAATGTGCACATGGTGTTTGTTGATTTAGAAAAAGCGTATGATATGGTTCCCCGTGAGGTTTTGTGGTGGAGCATGAAAGTGAAAGGAGTGCCAGGGAAATACCAACGGCTTGTTCGAGCTATGTACGGTAGAGCTAGTACGTACGTACGCTCCGCAGCTGGCGATAGCGACGAGTTCAGTGTGGCGGTAGGCTTACACCAGGGATCAGTTTTAAGCCCTTACCTGTTCATCCTAATAATGGATGCCCTAACATCGGACATACAGAAAGTGGCGCTTTGGTGTATGCTGTTCGCCGACGACATTGTTCTCGTTGGAGAGGAAGGGCCTGAGATACAGAGGAGATTGGCAAAATGGAAAGAAAGGTTGGAAAACGTGGGTTTGAAGATCAGTCGAACAAAAACCGAGCACATGTTTTGTGATTTTGGTGGTTCTTCAGACTTCACGCCAATCGCCTTAGATGGTGTATCCCTGCCAGTCTGCTCCGACTTCAAGTACCTCGGCTCTATACTCCAGAACGACGGCAACATAGACCGGGACGTCACAAATCGAATAAACGCTGGTTGGATGAAATGGCGGCAGGTCTCTGCAACAGCATGCGATCGTAGAATGCCCCTTCAGCTCAAGGGATTTTATTTACAAAACGATCATTAGACCTGTCGTGCTGTATAGATCTGAGTGTTGGGCGACGAAAGTTAAGCATACGCGGCAGAGATGCGAATGTTGAGATGGATGTGTGGAGTGACAAGAATGGATAAGGTAAAGAATGAGTATATCAGAGGAAGTGTGAAAGTGGCCCCGGTAAACGATAAATTAAGGAGCGGACGGTTAGCGTGGTATGGACATGTGATGCGTAGAGAGAAGATGCATGTGACTAGGAGATGTATGGAAATGGTTGTGCAAGGTGGAGGGGGAAGAGGTCGACCAAAGAAGACATGGATGGAGTGTGTGAATGACGATATGAGAGAGAGAGGAGTGAGTGTTGAGATGACGGCTGATAGAAGAGAATGGAAGAGGAAAATTAGCTGTGCCGACCCCACCTAGTGGGATAAGGTAGAGAAAAAGAAGAATTTTGTATAAACCCACAGAACTAATTTGTGTGGGCACTTAATGCTTCCTCTCAAGTCTGATTCAGTTGCTAGAAATATCTAATTATAATTATTAAATTTTCGCCACAAAACCCAACTTATTATCTCCCACTAAAAGAACACATTAGAACAACCAAAACGTACTCTAAAGTTAGATTGCTCAATATACAACTCTAACAACTTCTACCTGCTATACATAAGTTATCATATCACGCTATTATACAATACACAGAATAACGAACAGACACAATGTAACTGTAATGCACAACGGGGCTGCACCTACGCCGCAACACGCTTGTGAGCTGAGACGAAACGGATATTACATCTCAAAACTTTACCTACAACAGAACAGGGATAGCCTGATGATATATTAAATAAGCGATAGCGTTTTAGTATTTGCTTCTATAAAAAATTGTACAAGTATTTTTATTTAAAGGTTGCCTAACTTCTCAATTAAGATTGCGCAAATTGAAAGATCGATGTGTCGTCTAATTATGAAAAGTGCTGTAACTACTTTTAATGAAAAATAATAGACAAAATATTACGCAGCAGCATAGTTATGTTTATTGGTGTTTCTATTGACTCCTGTATCCTATATTTATCTTTTTATTTTCTACTATAAGATGGACTATACAGCTCTCCCAATTAGCGAATTCTTCCGTGCAAGTTTAACATTACTATAAAATCGATTAGGGCGTTGTTAATTAACTAATCGTATATTTTAATGTACTTTTACATCATTCTATAAATTTCAAAGTGATTTTTGAGTTGTTTTCAATTAAACTGGATAACGAGGTTCAAACGTTGGAGCGAGAAGTGCAGGGGAGTTGTTTAGTGGATCACTTTATCTCACACACATCGTGCAAATCTGTAATTAGTGTAACGGCTAAGAGAATAGCCAAAAAAATACGATAGTTTTGAATGAACGGTAATATACAGAGAACCGCTCCGCTCATCCTTCTCTAACAGAAACCTTATTATAATAGCAATACAGAAGAAACGGTAATATTTAATTTTATTTACTTTAGGTACAGGCTCATGTTATACCAACTTCTGATATAGGCATGGACATCACAATGTATTTAATGCTGTTTACTTCTAGAAATGTTTTCAGTTATACTAACTAAATTTGTATTGGACAGCTATTCGAAAGAAAAAATTAATCGTATTCTCTTCGATTACCCGAATTACTTACTATCTGTATTAACTACTTGTCGTATCTATTTCTGCCTTCATAGTATTCCTAAGCAGCATGTTAAGATTTCCTTCAAACGAAGTTTGAAAAATGACCTCCATGAGAAGCAGCGTATTAACTCTACTATTGGCATCGTTTACGGTTATAAGTGTTTATGATCCTTCACTATCACGTAAATTATATACTCGACTAGTTTTGGAAGTCAAATCAAAAACAATCGACTAACTTTACAGCCTTAAAAGAAATGTATCATTACAGAGCAACAATCACCAGTAATCCTCTTAAAGGACCATCAGTTCTGTCATTCGCATCTCCATTCACTCATGCAATCCGTATATATAATATACGTGCCTCTTTTTATACAGTGCATGCTCTTTAATACAATGGATTTGATATCGTGTCTAAAGTGGCGGTATTAACTTTGTAATATATATAGACCCTACTAAGAGAGAGATAGAGCTTCATATTCAAATTTATTATAGTATCTAGAAATAAAAAGGTGTTTTCAGTTTTGCAGACTTATCGGGAAGCCTACTATTAATAACAGCCTAGCATTGTTTAATATTAGCTTTAAGTAAAATGGAAATCCTAGAAAACTGTCATGAAACAAAAACGATCACCCTTTTAACTTAAAAGCAAAGTAAAAGAGTAAGCAAAGCAAAGTATAAGAAAATAGTAAAAATAGCATACATTTTAAACCTGTTATTTAATCCGAGGTCATTCGTTCTAATGGTTAGCCGAAACAAAGGAATATACAGCGGTAATGAAATACAAATGGGTATTATACGGTAAAACCATCAATATTTGGAACAAATTTCACAAAGACCTTTAATAACTAGAGTTTCTATTGCATTCATTCCACTGCTAATAGAACATATTGCTCATTTTTATTTAAGATCCTGCTATTAGCTTAGCGATCGCCTAGATCCAATGGAATTTGAGAATGTCTAAGAGTTGGATATACGGGCGAAGGACTCTGTCGAAACGAAGTCCTTGCGGGGAAATGATTAGAATAAAATACTTTCTCGTCTCAATGTGCAGTCTTAGGTGACTTCGCTTGTGTCGCAACAGCTACTGCTCCTAGACTCTGGTCGCTGTCTCGTTCACCTCTCATAAATAGGGCGATAATTGGCACCTGGGAGAGAATACCATCGCGAGTAGCACGTGGTGATTCTGATGAATGAATGAAATCATTTAGAGCTGTTTTTATGCTCAAAGGTTGTTTTGTGATGAGAAGATTGTGTTTCGTCCAGAAACGTTTTGTAGTAGGCAGCGGCTTGGCTCTGCTCTTGGCATTGCTGAAGTCCATGGGCGACGGTAACCACTCACCATCAGGTGGGCCGTACGCTCGTCTGCTTATAAAGGCAATAAAAAAAAAAAAAAAAAAAAAACGTTTGCGCTTAAGTATGGCAAATACTCATCAAGTGGTTGTGCAACGTTTTTGTTACTGTTCTATTGTCTCTTTTGATATGTGACTTCCCCACAAAAAAAAAATTATGCTACAGTATGATTATACTTATATTTGAAGGAAAATTTCTTCTTTAGTCGCATACTTCATTGCTGAAGGTCGTGTCCCTGAAAGCCATTCGTGGCTCTTTGTACCATCAGCTTTCATTTCCTTCGGTTTTCGGCTTCTCTCAGGGCGGTCGCAACAGAGAGTTTAGTGAGCGCAGTTATCTGATCTGACCAACGGCTTCGTGGTCGACCGGCGGGTCTTTTCCCTTCTACCTTGCCCACCACAGTCAATTTAATAATCAAGGAAAATTCAATAATACCCAAATAAAGCGTTTCCAGTCAAAATGCAAATTCCTTGTTGCTGACGTTCGGTATCCATTAAGAGTCGCGTGTCCACAGACTGTTCAATGTTGTTCCTAAACATGGTCGTCCGCTCTCCTACTGGAATTAGAAAACAAAGGTTTACGGTTTCAACTGAACACGATTTGGTGCTCGTAGTAAATTTACACGTCGTACAATTACCCAATTAAAAAAATTACCTCTTGTTTTACTGAAAATCATTTATAGGTGAGGTAACATTATTGAGTTTGATTTTCGTTCTTTCTTTTTAAGCTATTGCATAGCTTCTATCGCGGGCCTTGAGCGCGGCGACCGAATCATGAAATTCCGTAACGGAAAAAACCTAACACCCTTCACTCCGCCTACCATGTAGCTCGCGCTCAACACATTCATACGTTGCGCTTGTGTAGTATTTGTGAATAAGCGCGTGGCATGACGTCACACTGCATGCGCATCATGAAAAGTCTGCCCATCTCTCTCTCACGCAGTCTAGCTTATGAGTGTGAAGGGGACAGTTAATGCTTTACTTTTATTAATATTTAATATAGCGTGGTCTTGTTTTATTATTTTTTTAATATTAAATTATCATTGTCTAATTATAATTGCATAAGTTGATAAAAAATGCTATGCAATAGCTTTAGCGCGGCAATTCCCGAGTGCCACACGTTTTTTTTCTCTCTCTCTCTCTCTCACTTTATATTTCTTATATTGACATTTATGTCTATACTTATAGCAGTGAGAGATAACCTACTTCATATAATTTCACGGATATATTATGCCTATTGGCAACATTATTTTTTATTGGAATTTCAAATATAATCTTCTATAGTTCCAGAGAGAAAATTCGACATGATACAAGATCGCCTAGACGAGGACTATTTGAATATCATATGCGCCGTAGAAGGAGTCTATCCGAAGCCCGAACTCAACATACTAGTTGGAAACAGGTAACGAACTCTTGTTACATTCGACTCCGCTACATTTTGTTTTAAGATGACCAAATCAACTGAGTGCTCACTCACTCCACAATGAAGCCTATAGACATTACAAATACGAATAATTTTTTTTTATTGCTTAGATGGGTGAGCAAGCTCACAGCCCACCTGGTGTTAAGTGGTTACTGGAGCCCATAGACATCTACAACCTAAATGCACCACCCACCTTGAGATATAAGCTCTAAGGTCTCAAGTATAGTTACAACGACTGCCCCACCCTTCAAACCGAAACGTATTACTGCTTCACGGCAGAAATAGGCGGAGTGGTGGTACCTACCCGCGCGGACTCACAAGAGGTCCTACCACCAGTAATTACGCAAATTATAATTTTGCGGGTTTGATTTTTATTACACGATGTTATTCCTTCACCGTGGAAGTCAATCGTGAAATTTCCCATATTTAATGCTATTGTTCATTTCATCATAATGTTCATTGCGGCATATGACATAAAATTCCTCGAGATTGCCTTCCAGCTCTTGTGGAGCGCTAAATTCATATTTCCTCTCAAATACGGCAGACACTCACCTTTTTGATCAAAATAGCACAAAAATACCTTTTCTCGTTTATTAGTAGTGAATGAAAGGCACTTAAATTTTTGTGATATAATACGTACTAAACAAAATGTTCGCGAATGATTTCCACGGAGTAGGAACAATATCGTGTAATACAAATCAATCCCGCAAAAAATGTAATTTGAGTAACTAATTACTGGTGTTAAGGCGTCTTGTGAGTCTGCACGGGTAGATACTACCTCCCTGCCTATTTCTGCCGTGAAGCAATACTTTCAGTTTGAAGGGTGGGACAGTCGCTCTACTGTAAAAACTGAGACTTAGTACTCATGTCTGAACATGGGTGGCGGCATTTACGTTTGTTGAGGTCTATGGGCTCTAATAACTACTTAACATTAAATAGGTAGTCTTAACATCAGCGGTAGGCAGCGGCTCTGCCACTGGCATTGCTGACGTCCATGGGCAACGGTAACCACTCACCGGAGGTAGGCTGTATGCTCGTCTGCCTACACGGGCAATAAAAAAAAGTGGGCCCTAAGTTGGTTCACCTATACTAGCAACAAAAAAAGGTGGCGATACTTTTAGCGGAAGCATCGATAAAGTTCGATCCAAAGTTAATGTGTCAAATAAACTACCAACCCTATTTTAAGCATCGCGTTCTTATTCTTCAACTTTCAAAATGTCTCCATGAATGTTGATGCAGTGAAAAACGTAAGATTTTCATTAACGACCAAAATCGAACAGGATTTATCGTATTAAGTATTACAACAAGGAAACTTCGTCGTGCCGGAATAGGTCCGTGAATAATATCGAATGGTTGTCTGGACTCCTGTTTGGAAACACAAGTGTCAACATTTTGATTCGAAACGTAAATTTTACAACGGTTCGTTACGTTTTTCGGATGACACAAAAATTATATAATCACTAGCGTCCATCGCTTCGCTTCGGAAACATTAAATTTTATTATTGATAGCTGAGTCCCGCGATGCTATCCGCGGTTATTGTCGTACCGCGGGTGAAGCCGCAGGGCGAAACTAGTCTATAAGAAATATGCTGCAGCTTAAACAATATATTAAGTGCAAATCGTATCAAAGGAAAAAATAAACCTCACACATGCCTTTCACTATGAAGGAATACCATCATGCGTTAAACATTAAACTTACAAAATTACTAGTGACGGTTGGGCCTATGGTTAGGACAATGCATATTCTGCATTTTTCTGCTGTGATGCAAGCTGTGAAGAATACACACCAGTTCGTACGATGCGAAAACCGCTATTATTTTTTTTATTGCTTAGATAGTTGGACGAGCTCACGGCCCACCTGGTGTTAAGTGGTTACCGGCGCCCATAGACATCTACAACATAAATGCCGCCACCCACCTTGAGATATAAGATACAACAGCTGCTCCACCCTTCAAACCGGAACGCATTACTGCTTCACGGCAGAAATAGGCTGGGTGGTGGTACTTACCCGTGCGGACTCACAAGAAGTCCTACCACCAGTAATTACGCAAATTATCATTTTGTGGGTTTGATTTTTATTACAAGATGTTATTTCTTTACCGTGGAAGTCAATCGTGAACATTTGCTAAGTACATAAATTATGTACTTAACAAATGTTCATTAGAAAAATTGGTACTTGCCAGCGGGATTCGACCACCGGTGAATCGCTATATACGAATGCACCGGACGTCTTACCCTTTAGGGCACGACGACTTCAAAATTATTTTAAATTTTAATAAAACTGTAAAGGCGGTAAACAAGCCAACGAGAACTAAACGTACGAATATTTCGATAATGGTTTTGATAGATCTAATTCTGCGTTCACCGACACAATAATAGACCGTATAAACACTCGCACCTTACGAGTTTTAGTCCAAATAATTTGAATGCTTCTCGAAAGTTCTCTAACAAGCAGAAATTCGAGATGCCAGTATCGAATGCCCCAGCGTACTGGATTCACATTGTTACAACTAAAAGCTATTTTACGAACGCTTTTGTTTCATTAATGCTTCGTTAATCACTCGCCTTTTGGTCTATTAGTCGATACCAGGCCACGGAGCTTGAGTTCAATCACCGATCATAGTCAATTACCTGTGCCAGGAGAAATGCCAGGACAAATAACCATCATCAATGTCGAAAACTTTCCATATATAGTTTATGTGGATTGCTTTATCTAGTTATTGAAAGCATTTCTTACTTAGGTTTGCAGGTCTATTTTTATGGCACGATATGATATTTCCTTCATGGTGATATTTTTAATTAAATACCCTTTAGGTTGACTTTAGAACCACAGTACTTATTAGACTACACATGACTCATCAGTGATCTGGTATAAACTGGTTCCTAGACCCCATAGACATCATAGCTTGAATGCCGTCACCCTTGAGAATGAGATCGAGCTTCAGTCTTATTCCTCTCTTCTTTGAGATGAAAAGTAACACTGAAGTGCTTTGTGGTAAACATTTGCTTAGATGTCGGTACCGACTCATGTAGCTTACGATCCGGCATACAATAATTAATGTCTGTCTACCCTTTTTTTATTGCCCTTGTAGGTAGACGAGCATACGGCCCACCTGATGGTGAGTAGTTACCGTCACCCGTGGACTTGAGCAATGCCTACCGTTAAATACACTCCACAAACCTCTCAGAGAACAAAGCAGCTTTCCGGTGAAGATCTGGCGTGGTGCTATTCTAGATTGACACCGCAGCCGATAAATAAATTGTAATATGTTCCGCAGGCTACTAATAGACACGAAGTCATCGATCAATTTGATAGACGGACGTTACACGGCTCTGACCACCGCCGTCGTGAACGTGAACTCGCTCCCGACAACTGTGGAGCTGCTGTGTGAGATGCAAGTACCGCTGGCCAACTACTACAGCAAGAAGAGGGATCTGTTCTATAGAGGTCGGTACTGTTGATAGTAAAAGGCCTCGAGAAAGGAGTCATCATTGGTCAGGCCAAGTGGTTGAGTAACTCAAAACTCTCAGGCTCTTGATGATCAAAGATTGTAGGAAATTGAAAAGTTTGCTGCAGCATTTTCGTCCAAGCCACGGGAAAGACTTGAAGAGTTAGAGGGGTACTGTTGAGGGTTTAATGTCCTTAGGGGGTATTGAAAGGTGTGGATTATTGGAGCGACCCGACCTCTCAGAGGGGATAGAGGCATTCGCCTTTAATTATCCATGGCGGTAACCACCTAACACAAGGCGAACCGAAAACTAGTCTACATATCTAAAAAAGCTCAAGAATTATCAGGATTAGTGATATTTAACCTGATTTCAACCTAATTACGAAGGTCTCATTACGGTAGGTGTTTGGTTCGTATGCTCCCTGGTCCCCGTATCTCCCTTGGTATATGCTAGGATAGGATTGGTATATGGAGTATAGGATACTCTTGGTATATGCTAGGATTGGATAGGCTATTGACTTGAATTTCTCGTCTAACCATAGTTCCGTTCACAGATCCGCCGACAACAACTTCGGAATCACCTAACTCGGCCCCCGCACAGAGCGACGATGGTAACTATGATATTAACGTATACCAGAACTCACCCATATAAATGGCTAATAAACATTCAAGCTAAAGCATACTTTATAAAAGTTGAAAGCAATGCCCTAATTTCAAGGGTCAAGCAGTGGGCTCCGATTTGGAACGTGAGGTAGCTGCATGCTACCCCGGCCCCATATCTCAAGGTGATGACCTCTGCAACCCCATAGTCAGATTGGCCATGAAATTTCCCAATTCAGTTCAAAAAATTTTTTTTACAAAAATAGATTTTGAAGCTGTATCAGTAGTTTAATCAACGTATACTTTCTTTCAGGCTACAGAATAGTTTCAACGTCCCAATTAATTCTGTTGTTGCTGTTTATACAACGCGTGAGGTTTAGGAACACGTGACGGACACACATTGATATATATTTACATATATATAGTTGCTATTCGCTGACGCAAATCAAGTGTAAACATTTGTTGTGTACAAGTCTTTAACAAATAATCGCTCATTTATCCAACGAACATTTCAACAAAGAGCACTGTGCATAGTTTTCGCGACTTTGTAGAGCCCTTTCGTCGATTGAGAACAAATTTAACTACAGGTAGCCCTCCTATAACACGATTGATACATTCCTACACAGTCCCGTGTTGTGCAAAACCGTGTTATATGAGACTTGATAGGAGAGTAATTTTCTAAATAAAAAAGCTCAACTTAATCATCATCATTCCCCGGCCCTTCTCGCAGTCAACTGGGATCGGCCCAACAAGTTTTCTCCTTCCATACTCCTCTATTATATACCATTTCCTCACTCACTCCCCTCTTACACATATCGTCTTAGAGGCAATCCATCCATTTTCTCTTAGGTCTACCTCTTCCTCTAAAGCCTTCCACATTCATATTTAAAACTCTCTTAATAACCTTATTGTCATTGTCATCTCAAGTACCTGTATATATTTTTTTACGTAAAATATAAACAGTACAATTTCTGTTATTCCCATATTATACTATGTGTTTTTAAACTTCATTATCTATAATAAAGAATTTTGAAAGAAAATCTCATTATCGTGTTATAGAAATACCGCGCTATAGGAGTGTTACCTGTGATCTGTTATTTACTTACCAATGACGAAACAGAAATTGCGAGGCTTTTTTTTTTCTTCAATTCTTCTTCGTCATTCCCTCATTAATGAGGATCGCGACCACACGTATGCAAGTCTATCCATGAGGATCGGTCCTCTACGACGGGAGCCGCCAGTTGGAGGCTGCCCCCAACTGTCCTCCTTAAAGTGTCCTACTTTTTGCTCATTTCCCCTCCACTTGACCTAGAGTGAGAAGCTTTTTCAAGATTATGCCTTGGAGAGCGCATGATATTTCCGAAAAAGCGTAGTGTCCGGTCTTGGCAAATGACGGAGACCCTCCCTATGATTCGTCAATGAATTCAACAAAAACCAATATTTGATTTATAGATCCATTCATTTTCGGGACGGGAAACTCTTGCAGTAGCTATAAAAAATGTTTTAGAATAAGTTATTCTGTATTTTGTAAGGTTAAGGAGGTATTTATAAAATGTTACTTTAATTTAGACATCACCTTTAGAAATGCAATCGGAGTTTGACCTAGAAATTGTTTTTTTTTTTTTTTCTCTCGTCAAATCACTATAAAATTAATATAGAAAAATTATATGTATGTACTTATCGCTATATTGTCGACCAAAGATGACGATGTTGATGTTACGACATTCAAAGAACGTAATATATTTTGTATGTAAACATTCCAATGATTCTTGTCTAGTCTGTCAATAAATGTTTTGACACAAAAAACTGGTTGTGTTTTATTTTGGGCTGGGTATAAAGGCCAGTTGCTCATACTGCCCTCACTGCACGGACACTCACAAAGAGGTGATGGGGTCAATCGATCAAAGAAATCCTTGCTGGCACAACATGTACCCTGGGTACAATGTTACTGGTGGTAGGACCGCTTGTGTGTCCGCGCGGGTAGGTACTACCACCCCGCCTATTTCTGCCGTGAAGCAGTAATGCGTTTCGGTTTGAAGGGCGGGGCAGCCGTTGTAAATATACTGAGATCTTAGAACTGATATCTCAAGGTAGGCGGCGCATTTACGTTGTAGATGTTGTTTCGACTGCTCTGGGGTAGACCGGTGTTTCAACTAAAAGAGTGGACTACATTAATATTTAGTAAATTTATAAAAACAGTAAAACAAGTAAGTGTCGCGGGTGGCATTGCTGCACGAAGTGACGAAGCCGGTGTAAATCCGCTACCCCGCGACGCTGTCCTCCTACCGGCGCCCGCGCCGCGCCATCGTCGATGTCCGTGCATCGACAGATGTCTATGTTGGCTTCAGTAACCACTTAACACAAGGTGGGCTGTAAGCTCGTCCACTCATCTAAGCAATAAAAAAAAAACACGGACGACCGGTGGTAGAGCCTCACTTGTAGCTACCAACCTATTTCTGCCGCTAAGCAGTAATCCATTCCGGCGTGAATGGTGGAGCAGCCTTTGTATAGTTGTTGCAAAGTACGACTGCGCTCCGCCCTTAGTTGTGTGAGTGACCAATCTGTATGTGCGCCAATGTAGGCGTGAGAGCAAGTACGGTTGGCAAACAAAATTTCATTAATTCAAGTTATGAAGCTCCGTCGGCTACACACACCAACGAAAATGTGTATTTACGATTACAACTACAAATAAATAACAAGCGCGCTCGTACTTTGAAACAACTGTACTAAAGAACTGATACTTAAAACGTTGTGGGTGGCGAAATTAACGTTGTTGATGTCTATGGGCTCCGGTAATCATTTTACACGAGGTGAGCCCAGAGCTCGTTCACCCATCTAAGCAATTGAAGGTAAATTGAAAAAAAAACCTTTACCAATATGAAATAACATATTAAAAATTAATCTTGCACAATCGAGTTTTTGTGTCTATGGGCACGGTATACAAATTAAGAACATGTGAACCATAAGCTCCTTTATCCATGTACAGAAACCAGTGTTCATTCAGTGATCTAATTTCGACCATAATCACTGACTTTAATATTTAATTCAATTTTATACATTACACGTTATCTTTTGTTTTGCCATTTTTCCTACAAAGATGGGAAATAAAACGAACCATTTCTTTTTCCATATTTTGTATTATTCTAGCACTAAAGCTTATCAATAACAGCTTAACAACAAAAGAAAACGGCTGAAAAACAAAAGAGAAAAAGTTAACATTATTTATTTACCTATTTATAGGCTATAGTATAATTAAGATAAGAAAAAAAAAGATATCTTCTCGAAATAAAAGAAGCCATCAGTTCTTTGAGTCCAATGAGTGTATTTTACAATATATCGACGGCCCCTGCGTACAAAGCGTCATGTCAAAAATTGTGATTTACAGGAGAGTGTTTTAAAGTTTCAATCTAATCTGTAAATAAATCTTAAAAGTAACTTCTATCTTTTAGTATTGATTTAAAGTATTCAATTTAGGCGGGTTCTAATGGTATAATAATTATTTATATTTTCCTCGATTTTCCCGAAAAGTAGTTATATGACTGTGTCTATCACAACTATGAAATGGATTATAAACGTTTAAGTCTTGTATGTCTGTTTGTACGTGGAGAATGTCAAAACACTTTTTTTATGAAGAAACAAAATAAATGTGAAAGGAAAGGCTGTATATTGTCACTATTTTTAAGTTTTTTACTTTCAAATTGATGAAAAAAAACAAGTGTAAAAAACATCAATAATATAGACATAGCCTTTTATATGTAGCTTCTTAGAACGGACTTAAGGTGTACATTTTATGTAAATTTTCCATAATTAAAATCACAGTTTTACTACAATACAACTTTAGTCTTATTAAGTAATTTAAAGTAAATAATAGTTTCTACTGATCACTATCCCGTACTCCGCGTAAATGACATTAAGTTTGAAAAGTTTGCTTCTGCATGGAATGACGCTTCATTTATAAAACCGTATAAAACTTAATGTAAAGATACTGTATCTACATCAACAAAATATTTTTATTGTTAACAGTTAACGTCTTATATGTTTATTTATCTTTTGAAATATTTCATGAAATTTAAAAAAATATATGTTGTAGTAAACGTATTGACAAATAGAAAATGCTTATGAAATAAAAAAGGATTGTGTGGTTTTATGAAACCACGGTAAAAGTGAAACTGTTTTTCACATTATAGACATTTAACTCTGACAAACAACATTTACATTAAAACACTGACAAAAACAAACAAAATAGCGTGGAGCACTGGCACAAATAAGTAATAGTCTATACACTATACGATCAGCTGCTGCGAACTATAGGCGCCGCCATATTGGCCTAGGCTGCTCTGACGAGCGCCTTTCACTTTATCCCTACCCCGCGGCCGATCGTCACGCGACATGCAACACACAGACGAAAAAGTTTGAGACGTTGTAATAAAAGTTTCACTTTAAAAAAACGTGATTTTGAACATGACTGTTTATACGTAGGGACCGTCGATATATTTTTATACGAAGGATTGGTCAAAACACCGCGGTCGTTTATGTCAAACATGGCCGGCCCAATAACAATTCCCGGCGATTTTGTCACAACGATGCGTTCTGCTATACTCATTACAGAACTTAGTTCCGATGACTGAGTGTGATAAACGCACAGGACAGTGCCGTCGAAAACTTTGTGCCGGCTCGCCCATAAGCGTGATTGCACTGCCAATGTCCCTAGGGCTGGCAATGCATTCTATTAATAAATAATATTTTCTGACGGAAAATATTTGATTAAAGTATTTTACTATTCAATGCGTTATGCTTTCGTACAAAACTAAGTAACTAGTTTGAATTACAAATAATTGTTTGACAATTGCTGTAATTATTGAAATATATGTATCTTTGTTCACATTGCATCAAATAAAATCCAATTAAAAAATCGGTTGTCTGTACAGTCGGTTTACTGACGATAGTTGAACGTGACAACGTCTTAAGAAAATACTGATGGAATAGTTTCATTTTTCAAAAGAAAATTTTAATTTTATTTGGTTGATAGATATTTTGTATGGACAATTGACA